ACCAGCATGAGGAACATGCCAGAAACATGACAGAAACATCCACAGCCTTCCACTGGATGAATGTGGAGCCAAATATTGCCCAGAGATTGAGGAATACTTTGTGGTTCATCAAAAGTGGGAGTAAAATTGCATCCCATTACAATCAAGCAGTGAAATCACACTTTCTACTGCTATTCTGGGGTCTTTTTAAAACGTCTTACATGTTTTTGAGATTATGGATACATTTGACAAATTAATCAGGAACTTCAATAAATCTACACAATCCTCAGAAGTACGTGAACTAAGCCTGTGGTTTTCTGTTCCTCTGTAGAACAGAATGTCAGAGTGGGTTCCTTCAAGATGGGCGTAACTCTTCTACATTTGAAAATTTACTCACATTACTCTCTTCTGCAATGTATATTATTTACACTTTTATTAATAATTTAAATTATTTATTTGTAGAGGCTTTCCCCTACCAACTTTCACAATAGCAGAAATGTCCTTATCAATCTATGGACTTTTAATACAGGGTAAAACAGATGGTAGTTTTGCCTCAGTTCCTTTAGATGTTGGCATGTGCAAGGAAAAGAAAAGAAGTGAAAAAAGATTGGTTTGTAAGTAGCTAGCTAGCTAGCTGACTTGATCAGCAACCGACACAGAATTTGTTAATTCATGTTTTATGCTTTGTCTTTGATTTTTCAAAGGGTCAAAAGGAAACATTTCTCTTGCATTCCCTCATTGAAAGATATCCGAGCTATTTTCCTAGCTATTATCATGCTATTAGCTAGGATAATCGCTAGCTCTTAGTATTGTGTCTATGAAGCTCATTTTTAGCTAGCTAGCTGTAATGTTAGCTAGATGCCTCCTTAAACCTTTCTGTGTACATGTATATTATTTGTGCTATCAGATGTGTTCAGATGTTCCAATAAATGGGAGAATGTTTTTTTTTTTGTTTTTTTTTTTTAAATCATTTGCCCAGTTTTTAGCCTATGTGTACATGTGTTGTTGCATGCTAATTTACATGTGCAAGTGATGGCAAAGAGGCAAACAAACAAGCCTGTTCAAATGCAAATCACATATTAAACTGATGGATTGGTTGTTCTCTGTGTAGAAGGTGTTATAAGCTACAGGGTTAGGCAACTACACCCAGGTAATGAACCTCCGGTTTGAACAACCCCCACTTGTGAAGAAGGTTTATATAATCTGCACACTGAATCTAAATATTGTTTGATTGGATTCAGTATATAGTTTTTGCCTCCTTAAGCTGCAAGACACTGGAATGTTACAAGCACATTCATGCGATGGACAAGAAGCCGATCCAATATGCTATCATTCCCAAAAGGTGATAAAGACAGTCAGTGGCTTACTTTCATTTGTCATAATGTTTTTGGGCATAAACCCTTTCTTGATCATGAAATGAAAATCGTGAATTATCTACAGTTCAACATCTTGATCTTTGGCTTTAGGTCTTGCAGTGTTTTGAACTTAACTCAATAACTGATGCATAAACTCAGACCTATGGCCTTTTTCTAATACACACAGGCAGAGAGGCTTTCTGTAATCAGGCTTGTGCAGTTAAAGGAAAAGTCAGCAATTTCAAACTCAGACCACTTTTAATTATAGTCAAAGTTCTCCTTTCATTCTGACAGCTGTCAGTAAAAACTCCAGTCTCAGTGGCCACCACAGGCTCTGTAAACAGGAGAAAAAACAACAAATGCTGGTTTTGTCTGGTACAGTCTTTTCCTTAAGGGTTATGACAGTATTTTCCAGACTTTATTCAAACTCAAATGCTAATTAGAAAATGCTAATTCAATCATGTATTTCCCTTATGACCCTGCATAATTTGAGACATAATTCAAATTCAGCTGCAAAACCTGGATTTCCATTTGCATTTTTGAGCACAGCAGTGTATCATAGCTGCCAAAATTAAACTGCAAATGCAAAGTCCATTTGGCATTTCATTTCATTTTAAATGCCTAAACTGTTATGATTCAGAAAAAAAGAATAGCATTCTGTACAATTGCGATTGCACTTTCTCATCCTCGGCCAAAAAAATAAAATGCCAATTCTGTTTGAATTCGCATTTTCACTACAAATGAGGTAGCTCTGTCAATCAAATATTGTAGGCAGGAGTTGGAAGGAACACCATGTGTTTCAGAGGAAGTAACGTCTGACTAAAAGGGGCAAATAGCTGACAGTCCTGCCTCTTCAGTGTTACCAGGTCTGTGGCTTTTCTCGTAAAATAAGCTACTCTTGCCATGCTGCTGTGAGTCAATTTTTTTAAATGTGGGTTGGAGGTTTGGCGGATATATCAATCATTTACAATCGAAATACATAGTTTGGACTATGTGTTTTTTCGGTGCATATTCTATTTTGCATGGATTTAGGCTGTGGTTATGATAAATATGTAGTGAAGAGACAAGTGATATGGTGTTAAAAGTAGAGAAAATGGAGTGGTATTGTAACTACAGAAAATGAAACATATCCCATAGAAACAGTGGATCACACTGTGTTTTTGGCAAGCATTAAAATGTCCTTATATGACTGTATAACAATATAACAAAATGAAAATGAATAAAGAAAAGTGTCCATCTAGCTTGTCAGAAATTCAGCCTTTTAGCCATGTGGTGGTAGTCCACACTTTCTCAGGGAGTATAGTAAACTTGAGCTGCTGTATTGACTCTTCTAGGGCAAGTCTGACAGTCAGGGATGTTCAATATCATCTGCTCAGTGGGAGACAGTGTCTTGCTAAATATGCGCATACATCTCATTTAGGAGCCCTACCATGCTACAGAGATGAAACTACTTCTATGCCAACATCAGAAGCATCTACTTCCAATCTAAATATCTCCAAGCCTGTGTGCTTTCATGTGGGAGCATGAAAGAGCTGTTCATTTACCTTCCAAGCAGCAAATAAAGAAATTTCTGAAGCTGGGTAAATCTTTAAATGTCTTTGGTTCTGGCTATGTTTGTGCTTATCTACAAAAACTGAATAACTGATTGAATAACCTAACTGAATAACCTTGGAAAGAAATAGTGATATATTGAATAAAATGCTGCTTATGCTACAACTTTGTGTGTCGCGGTTGGACATTTGGGCGAAATACATTCACATATCAATATACTGTATGCAATCATAATTGTGCCTCGGCTGCAGATATGGACGCAGGTGCAGGTACAACGGTGCTTTATTGAAACTCACATACAAATCCAATATTTGTGGCAAAGCTCAGAAACCAGGAAACAGGAAATGGTCAGGTGATCAACAAGCATACACAAGGCAAGAATCAGAACCAGGAAACCAAAAATAAGAAAAATACTCTGAATAGTATGAAATGAGACTGTTCTGATTTCTTTCTAGCCCAGGCTGTAGATTCATACAGCCTACCAGTGACAGTCACGTCACGTGATTACAGAGTGAAGTGTCCCCTAAATGTGATCTTCATTTGGGATGTGATCTCCATTTTTCAGCCTGCTTTGCCTGACATGTTGCTCTAAAAGTACTAGGTATGAGAGGGAGGGGATAGCAATAGTTGACTATTACAGTGTTCAAAACCTCTTGCTCTATACAAGGCAGTCCTCCCACTGGTAGCCCTCTTGTCAGAGATGTGAAGAAACAAATAAACCCTGAATTTTCTCAGTTTTGCAGTTTTCTAATGATGCTTTATAAACAGTTTCAGTTTAGAGGCTACTCCCATTACTGAAAATATTTCTTGAAAGTATTCTTCCATGGCTTGAGTTTCGGTTCTATGCGGAAGTTATTCTCCATGGAAGCGTGGCTGTCACTAATAAATCTATGGTATAAACCTCAGGTTGGTGAGGTGGTAATTAAGTAGCTTTGGACATACTAAACATCTAAGAGGTTGTGATAGGCCTGAGGCATGTTTGTCTAGAAGGAGATTAATGGGCTTTCAGTGCAAGTTGATTTTAAACTCTTAGAACGAGAGAATCATTAGCACTGGGTAGAAGGGGTAGCTTTACTTTCTCCCCTGTCGATCAGAAAAACACTGCCTAATACGGGTGTCTTTGAAGTCATGTTTTAGTGAAAAGTGTCTTCGCTTGAGCATGATCCAGCTAACAATCCAGAGTTTTGTCAAGACTTACAGCTCAGCAGCACTATGGTGCTTCATGAGTGTTTACCATTGTTTTCATGACACTGTAAGTCCTGACAAAACTCTGGATGATCATGCTCAAGCAACAGCACTTCTCACGAAAACATGTTTTTGCTTTTTTTGCTTTACATCCTTTTTTAATTTTCAGCTACTGTCTGTTCTATAGGTATTTGACCAGGCCTTTTCTAAACATCTGCATGTTGGCTCATGTTCACTAACATGAGGTGACAAGCTTCCATGAGGTAAGAACAAAAAAACAGTATGGAGATTACACTGATACACTATCAGGAGAACTGTTGGCCATGCTGAGTGATGAAATGCATATGTGCAAGGAGACATACTACAATAGAGGCAACACAGGTTTTTATTTTTATTTTATTTTTATAATGACCTGTAAGGGTACCTGCCAAAGTGGCTAATTTTTTTGTGAGCAAAAGTGAGTGAATGAGTGTATGAATGATACTGTGCGATGGACTGGCATCACATTTAAGATGAATTCTCCCGGCCTTGTGCCCAGGGTTGCACACACTTGTTCATTTACATTTACATTTATAGCATTTATCTCTATCAAAAACATATCCTCATGCTAGTTCAATAGGTCAGAGACTAAGAGTACCATGTCTTAAAACCCTGTTGAGGAGGCTAGTACAGCATGAAAAACACACACACACACACACACAAAAAACACTCCTAGGGTAGCCAATCTATGATTTTGGGAAGTGGGAGGAAACTGTACCATGTGCAAATAATATTCCATCCTCTGTACCACTTATCCTACACAATCCATAATCACACACATTCACACAATATAGAGATGCCAGTCAGCCTACCATGCATGTCCTTGGACTGGGGGAGGAAACTGGAGTATCCGGAGGAAACCCGGAAGACAATGCAAACACCACACACACAGGGCAGAGGCGGAAATCGAACCCCCAACCCTGGAGGTGTAAGGCCAGCGTGCTAACCACTAAGCCTCTGTGCCAATAATAATAATAATAATAATAATAATAATAATAATAATAATAATTATTATTATTATTATTATTATTATTATTGTTATTATTAAGAAGGGTGTAATTAAGGGTAGGAATTAATTATTATAAAGGGTGGCAACAGCAACAACGATAACAAGGTCCTGTGTGAAGACATTCTGCAGCGTTGTTTTAGACTAAAATCTGAAAAACAACAACAACAACAACAATAATAATTATTATTATTTTTATTTTTATATAAAATGTTTTTCAGATTTGAGTCTAAAACAACGCTGCAGAATGTCTTCACACAGGACCTGGTTATCGTTGTTATTGTTGCCACCCTTTAAATAACGTTACACGGAAGTGACTGCACAAACCCGTGAAAACTGCATTACCCACGTTCCTTTTCATCACGTGACGTCACGGCGTGTCACTCAGGGACCATACCGGCTTCCGTAGGCTGTCGTGGCGTGAAAACGTCGGCTAACAGTTGTGAGTGATATCAGAAGTGTAGCAAGGCTGAGCTCGTGTTTGTCTTAGACTCTGTTTAAAGCGCGAAGACGTTGTTTTTGGCAGTCAGGTGAGGTGACTGCAGGAAAAACACAGCTGAAGATTTGACGGTAAAATGAGGCGTGCAGGGTTGGGTAAGTCATTCTCAGTAATGCTAGTCAAAATGGATTATGCTAACTGGCTAGAGAACTGGTTACGTTTTCTGCTTATGTCATTTCCCGTGTGTAGGCTGAGACCTGGAACAATCTCAGAAATGACTTATTTATTTATATTTAATTTGTGGTTGTTTAGAAAGATGTGCTATATGTAGCCTACTTAGGGGGCCTACTTAGTGTAACTAGCTAGCCTAAATGGTTGGAACTTCATACGTGGAACTTGGGAAGTGACATCAGTGACAAAAAAAAAAAACAAAAAAAAAACGGAAGTAAATGGATAGGAAATAAATTCCAGCAAAGGCATTGTACATCTTTAGTATTTTAGGGCACATTTGTTATGTGAAAACCCAAAGAAGATAAACAAATTGTGTTGAAATTCTGAACAAAAAGGAGACAAAAACAGGACCTTTATTATTCTATGTGCATTTATTACTCTATTACTTTACAGTGAAGATCTTAGCCATGAGAACTGTTGATGAATAAAAGAATATTTTGCTCATTTAGACTTCCTCAAATTGAAATGCAAGTAGGTTCAAAAACAATGTACATATTTACATGAAAACACACACACACACACACACACACACACACACACACACCAGATGTTCAATGGGTTCACATTGGGAATGATGAGTTTTATTTTTTATCTATCTATCTATCTATAAATAAACCAAACCTATAACAAAGAAAATCAGTAACGAGATAAGAATTGAGTTTCTTTCACCTGTTGGAGAGACTGGAGTTCTCTTCATACGTGGAACAGTTCTAGCTGATGTGTTACTATCACAGCCTTCTATCTGTCGTCACTGATTATTCATTATCTCACTGTCCTGATGTTAGAGATCTAGTGCCGGTTTCATACATAATATAAAGTCACTTCGTCCAAGCAGTGCGTAACAATGTTATATTGGTTGTACTAAGTGCAAAAGTTTGCATGCCCTTAGAAAAAGAAGAATACATTACCTTTATAGCAGTGGGCTGTGTTTCACAGATCTTGCTTTATCATCACCAGATGGTGCACTAAAGAAATTAATAGAGGAAATAATTTACATGTTTGTGAATGTGATATAAATATTCTCTAATAACTTGATTTTGAATCCCCTCAGTTGTTAATATATCACAATATGCTATAATACAGTAAATCTAGTTTAGACAATCTAATCCTGCAAGCAAAGTTATGATTAGTCAGGATAAACTGTCATCCACCCAGCAGATAAATGTCTTCTACTTACAAAAATAAAAAGTATTACTGTGACAAAAGAAAACAAACAAACAAAAAAAAAGTCTATCAAATTCTAACTCGCGTTATATACATGTTTTTATGCCTCCATACATCGCTAGGTATTATTTGGACTATTGCAAAGACTGTGAAGCCATGACTTATACTCCAATTTATGATTGAGTTTTAAGTTGTCCCAGTGTTGTGATTAAAGCTATTATTATTGTTGTTGTTTATGCAATATCGAATTAATTAAAGCGAAGCATTTTTTTGTCAATGGTTCACAGGTGAAGGCGCCCCGCAGGGGAATTATGTGGCAAGCGGTTACAGTGTTTATGAGGAGGAGAACGAACAGTTACAAGAAGGTCTTAGAGCCAAAGTAAACGCATTGAAACATGTAAGTTATATGAGTATTACATGTGCAGTTATATATCAGAGTATAGCGTAGAGTATGGTGTGTTTTAAAAGTGTATGTTATTGAATAGTCTACTAGGTGAATGATCATTTGTCTTTCCTTGTATTCCGCCAGCTCTCAATTGACATCGGGACTGAAGTCAAATACCAAAATAAAGTGTTATCAGACATGGTAAGTTTATGTTTTTATTTTTACATGTCAGATCCTTTGACCACAATTCATGAACTCTTGAAAATGAAAAAATGACATTAATATCAAAAACATTAATATCTAGTGTGACAGCAAATAAATCTCATTCTTTCTTTCTTTATTTATTTATTGCAATTTTTAACCAAAGAAATCCTGTACATTGTAGCTTTCAAAACATTAATAAGTTGGTCCTAGTGGTCTACACCAGATATGGAAGTCGGAGCGCTTCACACCATGTAGAATTTTGTTCAAATCATTCCCTAAAAATAATCTGGAAAATTCCAATTTATTGCAGAAAAAATAAAGAGAAAAGAAAGTGTGATGTCCCAGGTTGATCCATGCTTATTAACTGTCCAACTGAAAACATTACCTCATGAAACTTTGGCCAGAAACCCAGTAGTTTTTGTGACAATTTGATGGGTTGAAATGACTGAACATGGTCATGTATGATTAGTCTACAAACATTGTGTCTCTTTAAACACAACTCATGCCCTAAAGCCAAACTCATATTTATTCACGTTTCATTTATCTAGTATTTGCATGTTTTATTCACAATTAATGTCATTAATAATGCATTTATGTGGATCAGAACGGCAGTGGTGTTGGCAGTGGTGTTGCTACATGTCACAAAGCTATTTGGATCAATTAACTTGGAGCCAGTAGCACCTATAAAACTACTGTGTTCACATCAGAGTTGCTGGGAGTCCATCATAAAAAAGTCGACTCCCTCATTCCAGGCATCGAAAACTTTAGAGCTGAATCCAAACACTGAAAATGATTCGCCTCGTTCAAACACAGCAAGCAAAATGAATTTAACATTAAGTGTTTTGATTAGTGAGACAGCTAGAGCTTTGCGACCTTCATTTAAATTTGACTGGTCAGAATTGAACAAATCAGGGCTTGAAATAATGGTAAGACCCTCAGTCAGTGTCTGAGACCATTGGGCCATTGGTCACAATGAAATAGTTGCGGAACCAGTGAAATTGTATGCGATATGTGATATTTTAGCTTGGGTGTCTCATTTAAAAAGGTGGTAAGCACTTTATAATATTCTCATCCCAGGACAGATAAAATTGTCTGATAAATTTCAGTAATACTGTACGAGTTAAAAGCAGGCTTGTTTGTTTGAAATTTTGGAAAAAAATATTTTTAAATAAATGTGTTTGGCATTTAGTGTGTGTGTGTGTGTGTGTGTGTGTGTGTGTGTGTAAACAATAATCAAACCAATGAATTAATAAAAAAAAAAGAATCAGTTGATTAATTTTCATTAGTTGCTGCTGTATCTGAATTGTTAATGTAAATATCTATCTGCACAAGAAGTCTTCTAAATCATCAGTCTTATTGTACATGATAGCGAAACAGTAGTTCATTCTGGATTTAACCGACTGCAATGTGATATATGTGTGTATATATATATATATATAACGCCTGAACAAAATAGGGTTTTTGGGCAGTATCAGCATAAATCCTCTTTAGTTAGTGACCATTTTGCATTGATAATAAGGGACAACACAAACTATGAAAACATATTTTATTAAATAAAAAGTTTATGAACATAAACATGAACATAACATAGAAAAATACTCAAATTTTGGATTCATCAAAGAAATCCCCATTAGCAG